AATAAAAAGGTATGTGTATAAAAATTTGTCAGTGGAGTCGAGGAAAGTTTCGTTAAAATGAGGAATCGTCAGCTGGATGATGTCGCTTGTCAGACGTACTGGCAATCTTCACGGTCCAATTTGGCTCGACAGGGAAAAAATTCATTCTGGCCAAGGTTTTCATCTCTCCCGTGTGAAATCCAGGACAATGAGAATTCACAGCGCCACAAGTCAGCTTCCTCGCTTCCGCCTCGCTTCTCTATTCCTCTGTCGGTCCCTTCGCTCCTCCTCTATCTACCGTTGGTAAAGCATCCGAGCCATTCATTATTTCCTTGGTTACCTCTCCAAGCCGGGGAAAACTTCTTGGCAACGCAATTATGTTTGCGACGGCCTCTGCTCTCTCCGTTCGTCTCTTTGCTCCTGATGTCACCCTTTACACACAATTTTTTTTCCTTCCCACTCTCTCTCGTCATTCTAGCGTCGTTTCTTATCTCGCGACACCGTAGAATGGTGCCATGAAAAGACGACTGTGCCCCGGCGAAATTGTATCTGCGCCCGCGAAAATTAACACGCCAGTTGTGTTCGTATCGTCGAGCTGCGAGATTTGAAAAATAAATTTCAGGTGCGAGGCATACAAGGAAATGGAGACACTCTCGATCATTCAAAATACAATGAATCTAGGGAAAGTGTAACGAGGAAATCGTCGAAACATTCGATTCATTCATCATAACTTTAAACATTCCCAATTTTTGAGTTTTAAATTAAAAGTTTTGTTTCTCAATAATACAAGTTCAGATTGGTACATGTAAATTAGTAATATTGAAAAGAATATATATTCATAAATTAGGTATTTTCAATTAGCGAATAATATTGTGTTCAATGATGTAAATCATAATATCCTATAGAAATACAGTGATTAAGAAATATGGAGACTGAACCAATCATTCATAACACATACAAACAAAAGACGTTGTACCACTGAAAAGTGACTAGATAATACCTCCATAAACTATTCTCAAAATAAGATTACTAGATTACGTTGCAGCTAACGACTTGTTACATCACGCAATTACCGCCGCGACCGTAATATCTCTTAAGAAATACTCTACTGTTAATCATTTCCCAAAGACCATTAAATTCCCCGGTAACCCGCAAATCTATACAAACATCCGCGCCCGACTAATGACTGAATAAACTACCATTTTCAAAGGCGCAATATTTTCTGGCTCGCTCGCGCATTAATCGCCGGCTGGTCCGCGGATATACATCATCTCTTTGAGAAGCGCGATCGCCATCGGCGCAATCTGCACATCTGTTACCCCGAACAAACAACAGATTCTCTCTCTTTCTCTTTCTCTCTTTCTCTCTCTCGTACATTCTCCCCGGTTTCATTCCGCAGTTCATTCGTGGATGGCGCGACTTATTTTCCGGTACGTTATAATTAGTGGTCTAATGACTAGCACTCGGAAGGGCGACGGGTAATTAAAACAACTGTGCCTGCGCACTGCCTGTTTCCTCTTTCTCGCGCCATGCTCCGCGTTCTCCTTTCTTCCAATGCGAATATGCGCGCGCGTGTACTCGTTCTCCGTTCGTTCGTCATCCTGCTCGAGAGAGGGAAACTTGCCAAGAATTTTAGTGGCCGCGATATTTCAATTAGCATCCGAGGCTCGTTTAAACGGCAGTGAAAACGGCTGGCGCTGCCAGGCCGGCCGCGTGCGCGCGCGCACTTTCCCAGTGTTTGGTGCTGATGTGAGAAGCTCTAGAAACAAAATGGCTGAAGAAGAAGCGAAGCTACATCAAAATTTACACTTTCCGCAGCCCTGCTGGTTCAACCAGACCGGTATTTGTTAGTTGCTCAGAATTCTTGCTGTGCATCCGCGCGCAATTTTCGATACCAGACACCCGGTACTTCGCTTCCTGTTGCGCGGCCAACCGGCTTCTTCCGTTTCTGCGGCTCCTCGCAACCCCTTTGGCTGGCGTGCGCGCATCCTCCTTCTTACGGACGTGAGAAAACGGTTGCCAACAGGCGCCGTTTAATGGTAAACGAGCGACCGCGCCAACTCGGCTCGCGATACAGGATCTTGTAATTGGTGTGGTGTCGAGCCAAGTGGCACGAATCCATGAAAGTACTTCGGGAAATCGGAAATTCTGCGGTATTCGGTCTTTCCTGCGCGAGAACGTTTACGGTCGGGGATTTTTGCAAACGTATTGATTGCGCCGAAAAGCGATTCGAGATGGTAGAATAATTAACCCTTAGCATTCCAGATTGTTTTGTAATCTATCAGCAACTGCGACTAATTTTTATAGTATTCAAAGCGAAAATGAGAAATGCTATAACATTTCTTTGATCTTTTATTCTCCTTCTTAGTAAAAAATTTGGATATGCGGAAAATCGAATAATTTTAAGGTGGTTTCTTTAAGATTGATTAAAATATTTAATATTATAACTGGTGCAATATCGGAGCCTACAGAGTTCAAAGGGTTAATTGGTTGGCATTTCATAGTAGAGAGATGAATGTCATTTTTGGATCTAATGGGTAGTCTTACTTTTATGATATTATGTGTTTATTACTATCTAAAATCTATTTGAGATCGAACATTGGCGTTATTTCTTGATGAATCAATCACCACCCGATATCAGACAACAAAGAAATCAGGTCAGGTCTCTACAACGAATTAAGTCTTTCTAAAAAATTCCCGATATTAACCGTTATTATTACCTTTCCCGATGTTTCTTACTATTACATTTAATTCCCAAAGATTAAAATAATTCAAACCCCCGAACCTGACACCTTTATACGAATTGAATCTTGAGCAGGTGCTCCATCTAACACCTTTCCCTCATACCAGAAACGAAGGGGGTCATCAATGCACAACCTTACAGTGTAACACGGTTCCACAAAAAGCGGATTATCTGGGTTAGTGGCTCATTATACCAAGCCGGGAAGATCCGTGTACCCGTTCCACCTGCTTTGAACAGGTAATGCAAGGAACTAATTCTTTGGACATCCAGCTCGAGGATGCCTATCACTCGAGGCGGATCGGGTCAGACCGGTAAATGAGGTTAGTGTTGGCTGGGAGTACCCTTACGAAAGAAACGAATGGAGATGCAGGTGGTACGTAACCGATCGAGGGTGTTTACGACACCCTCCGGTCAGGACGGATTGACGGGGATTAAATTAACGCTGAATCAGCGGCAGCCTGGCTGGCTGGCCCTCTTTCTCATTCTCGGGTCAATTTTCGTCCCGACCGATCCGGACCGGCATTACCTGTATCTACCGTCACCTCAGCCGGAAATTAACCTCCCTCCGCGGAGCAAGAAGTCGCCCTCGGTCTCACGATCCTCTCGGTAAACCGCCAACTGTTCCGGACAAGTGACGAACGACGACTCTCGATCGTTAACCAACGCGACCTCCTCTTCAACCCGCCGAAACGACCGTCAATTCTGCCGGCGAACAACACGCTGAATTGTCTGGAATTCGCGCGCAGTTCCAATTTTAATGTATTCCAACTTTAATAAGGCTGCCGTATAATCAGAATAATAATTCCATTAATGTATAATCGAACGCGTTCGCTGCCCCCACTTTGCCGCCCCTAGACGCCTCGCCGGGGTTAATTTGTGTTAACGACCCGATAAATCCGCTTTAGGGAATGATACTCGACTCGGCCGTCGTCGCCTTGTTAGGAGAATATTCTGTTAATCGAGGAATCCGTTTATCCAGCTGTATCGAAGTATTCTCTTAAGCGATCGAGGAGATCCACGATAAGGTAGATCTACAAATTGATTCGATCGGCATGTGAATTTACATTTTTATCTAGTGATTGCGATGAGATCGCTCGATGCGAGATATTTATTGATACACAAGTACTTAGCACGTTTTTACCTAATCCCGTTTAGAGATTCAGCGCCTAATTGTACGTTGTCGGATTGGATAGAGAGAACCAATTGAAGTAGAGAATTTTTCATAAAGCTTAGTCGGGTGCTAGATTGTTGGAAGATACGAAAATGAATTAGTAAAGCTTTTATACTATATTCAAAACTATATTAACAAATAAAGGCTATATACTATATTAAAGGATGTAACGACAAACTATATTTACTTGACTGGTCACTGTGTGACTGAGTGTTGTGTTTTACAAACGCGGAAAGCATCCCTGGTTAAAGGGTTACAATTGTTCTCGCAGGGTTTTTAGATGGCGAGTTTTCTAGGTGGTGATTGAGTGGACAATTAGCGAGTTTGAAACGTATGAGGGATAGAGTTAGGCAGATGTGGAAACCACATGGAAAATTGTTTTACGATGGAAGTAAGAATTTTTCCGTTTCCAAAAATCTGTATGTTTATGGCCATTATTGGTAGGTTTCTTTATGGTGATCTGAGCTCAGATCGGGATGCCGTAATAAGGGTACTAAGATAGAAGTCCACAAATCCCATGTGATGTTCATCTCGCTTATCGAAGCTGTCCTCAAGCACTACATCTACGACATGTAAACGTTTTGTTCACGCAGTTCATAACTTTATCACAATTTCACAACTGAACACGGAAGTCTATAAAACATAACGATCACCCGGGAAACTTGTTTAATCCGCGATTTCGTCGAGGTCCGATGAGCGTCGCGTTCTGCACGCGATCATCGAGTTTATTATATCATTATCCGCATTAACCAGTTGATCGCGGAACAGAAGTGGGAAATTGGGATTTGACTGGATCGCCGACGATTTGGCGTCGGTAATCGGGAGAACGAGATTGATGGGGCGAAGGGATCGAGAGAGGGGGGTGGGGTGGTCTCAATAAAACTTGAATTAAGTGACATATATTGGACGCGAGTCGCCGCGTCGCACTTGATAAATGATACTCCTCGAATACATCGAGCGAGGAGAGTTGCGGGGCCAGGGATGACGAGAGCGTTGGAGGGATGCGAAGGGATCGTTATCCCCGTTCAATTGCACGTACACGGATCGTCGATCGACCCATGAAGCGATTTACCGTTTAATAAGGATCGTTCTCCTTTCTGCTTTCAGACAGAGATAGCGAAGAGGTTAAACGCTATAATTGCTCAGATCCTGCCGTTTCTCTCTCAGGAACATCAACAACAAGTCGCCACTGCTGTTGACAGAGCCAAACAAGTGACCATGACCGAACTCAACGCCATTATCGGGGTGAGTGCACGCCAATGGAAGATAAATTACTCCCTCTCTCTCTTCCCGTTCCTGCCTGCCTCTCTCTTCCTTGCATCCCCTCCCCGGAACGCGCACACCGCGCTTGAGTATATCTCGTGTAGAGGTAGCAGCGTATATAACTCGTGGATCGTGACGTTTGTGTTTACCGTCGAAACTATCCAGGGACATTATTGGAGTAACATTAAACAGTAAATTAAATATTAAATGCAGTCGCAGTCACGAAAAACAAATAACTGGTTCTGTTCGCGCGAAATCTCCTTCTCTCTCACTGTTCTCTGTTTCTCTCTGTACCTGACGATGATCGCCCGACTGAAATTGAACTATTCCGCCGTCTAATGCGAAATCAATTTCCGCTATCGCGCGCGCACCACGGATCGATATGGCGCGGAAGTAATTTGCAGATACGTGGGCGGCCGGGTAACGGCGTCGCGAGGGTACATACGCTGTCCGTATGCGCGCACGTGCACGCGCTTCGTGTCGTGTACCTTTTTTTCTGTTTTTTATTTTCGCCACGCTCGGTTGTTACGTTTATTGCGCGTGGAGTTATCGAAACGATGGTTAGATAAATTTCTAAACGCGAGACCGATCGGGAATGGAAACGAGCTGCGACCGGCCGGAAACGGCTCTGTGAAAAAGGGATTACACCGGGGAATTTGTTTTCGATATCCTCACCGATGGAACTAATAGGAAGCCATTTCGACGGGCTATAACCGTCGCCCGTTTCCGACTGGTTTACGAATCCGAATTCTCCCGTATTTTCATATTTTCCAAACATTAAAATTGCACCTTGGATTGACGCGCATCCGTATTTCACGAAACGCTCGACGGACGAGCGACGCTCGTATATAAACCGGAATCCGTTGTATCACGTTCTGGGTCGATCGCGAGCCCGCGTCGAACATCTTTTCCCCACCCCCGATTCCCACAGGTACCGCGCGTTCGTAAATTCCCGATTGGGTCGGTTTTATCCCTGGGAAAAATTCAATTCTCTGTGCACGGACCCGGCCGCAAATCCTTTCCAACGAAAATTTACGCGAGCGCTCGGTTCCGAACGAAGCGCGTTCGTCGAGCCGCCGCCGCCACCGCCGCCGCCGTTGAGCACACGAGCGGGGGTGAAACTGATTCGCGTTCAGCGCGGCGTGAAACGGATTCGCGTCGAATGAGAATCCCTGCGCGCGGTGGAAGGAGGAAGCCGATGCACGCCCGAGGAATCCGAAAGCGGACGGATGGATACGATCCTGGCGAATCCCGAATCCTCCTCAATATTGCTCGAGCACTCAATTTCCTCCCTATTAAGCCGCCGGCTTCTCTCCCGGTTCTCTCTTCCTCCTTCCATCACGTTCATCCAACCCACCTCCCTGATCTGCAACCCCTCCTGCTTCTAACCCCCTGCCAACCGGCTGAATCTTATCCCGAGTCTTCCTTCCCGGTTTCCAAGCCGGATAGGTTATAGTGTTACGGCGCACGAGCACCAACTAATCAGCATTCCTGCTACCTACCCAACTGCCTTCGACCCCTCTCTCTCCGTCTCCTATTCTCTGTCTTTCGTTCCCGCCTCTTCCCAAGCATCCCCCATGGTTCAACCCCTTCCCAACCCCACAGCCGTGGACTCCTTGGCGCCTCGACCTCAACCTACCCCCAACCCGTCTCAAACCAGAGAAACTTCCACGGATCCGCGGCGTTGTCGGGCTACGTGCGGCAAATCCTTAGCAGAATCCCTGGATTCCGCGCGCTTTAAACCCCACTCCACCACCATCCTCCTACCTCAGCCATCGTTTCTTAAGGCGATCTTAAATCCTTTCAGTTACCGTCGGGAATCGAAAGAAAAACACATACATCGGGTACGAGGAACTCGGTTTAGTTTCTTTGCATATATTCCGATGAAGTCTGTTAACACGCTGATTGGAATTGATGGTTTGTGTAGTGTTATTGACAGATGCTCGTGGACGGTGAAGCCATTGATGATAGGGCTTGATTGAATGAACGTACTTTCTTGAACCCTTGATGTTTGATTTCTTCTGCGATTATCATTTTTATAGAAGCATTCTGTTATTAGTAGTTTCCTATATGAGTTTTTGTTCAGTTGTTCTTTCTATGTCCGTAGTTTCAACTGAAATTTTCTGTCGTATTCCTATATTATTTTTGTTTGTACTTTACTGTGTTTGGAGTTTAAATATTATATTTATAACCAAGTACATATTTACTTATAAATATTTTAATAAATTGGACAAAAGTATGCATATAAATAGTAAAAGCCCGTTATCATGATGAAGATTTCCTACTCGACAACTCTGTGTTATCGTCTGTTCCGAAATCAAGCTCGGTACTCTTTTAGATCAGAGTGATATCTTAAGTCCTTCTTGTTTTATTTCGTATCTGTTACAAATGTAGTTTACTGAAACTTCTCCACTCTTATCGCCATTGTAGAATGGTATTACCGATACGATCACTCATACGTGTAAATTCATTGAGAGATTGGTACCCGAGGTTTATTGTCGATTAAATCGTCACGTCGCTGTAAATAATCCACGTTGATCTACCGACGGTTTAGCGCGTTTCCTCTGGCAGATAAAGGGAGTTCTGTTTAGAAAATTACGCGAGGTTGCGTGCGTTCTGAGCTGAGGACCGGAGGCGAGTCTGCTGACGTTCATAATCTCTTGCACGAACGGCCAGCCAGAGACGCTTTTCAGGCGTCAACGATATGTGATATATAAGAAGGTTAAGACGATCTCCTCGGATCTTTTAGCGGCGGTATCTTCACGGCTGGTTGAGTCAGCAAGTAGCCATGCCGTTGGAAACTGCTGAGAACATGCCCTGCCGGTGGATGCAGGTGTCGTGAGAAGACTCGCGCGAAGATGAGGGCCACCGTAATGACTTGCTCTTTCTTGGTATCCAAAGAAGATACTCCATTTGCTGTAGACTAATTCCTTTAATAAAAACGAACCTTTTCGATCTTCCTTTCATTGACTCTCATTTATGAAAAGATTTTCGTTTATTTTTGTAGGAGATTATATTATACAGAATCGGAATAGTTAAGTATTTATATATTTGACTACCAGAACAAAATCTCCAGAAAGCAAAACTACCTTTTTATCAAAACAAGAGACGTTAAATTTATTCATTCCGCGCGAATCGTTCATTAAATACCTTTCAGTTACTACAGCATTGGTACGTTCATTACCCGTTATATCCCCTAAGTCTTTGCGCATTATTCAAGTATTTTATCTACCCGGTATGATGATTGGAAAAGCTATAATTTAGCTGATCAATACCCTCAATATTGCGCATACAAACAGTTCTATCTGGTCCAATAATTAGCAGGCATTCCCCACAAATACCAAAAGTGATACTGACGCGAATAGTCGGAAACGGCCTCGTTGTTGCGAATGTTGGCGCGTCAGGATTACCATCACTACCAGATTCAGGACGTTTCTTAGGCGCTTCCTCGCCTGATCCGCCGCCGTTTCACCTCGGTTACACAAGCGGACACACGTTCGGTTTGTTTGTGTGCTTTGCGGGTGGCTCAGACGGTCGGCCAACATGGGGTTATCATATCGTTAAACCATTTAATTATCTCGGTATACTACTCCGCGGAATATTTCGGACCGGCATTAACGAATGTACACGGTTTCGCAGAGGGGTAGCTCGATTCTGCTTGGTTCCCCTTTTTCAACTGCAGCCTTCCGGCGAAGCTTTCCTTATCTCGTCTTTCCGCCGTCTTTGCAGTTCTCCTTCTATCTCTT